GTTAACCTTATAGTATATAGGTGAGGTGCACTTCAAGAAAAAGGATTTCAAGTCTCCAAAATAATGCATTTTGTATGTAGTATATTATCTGGATCGTCCATTTTCAATATTTTTAAGTTTTTATAGATTTACTTGATCTCCAATATTGGAGCTTTGAATTTCACAATTACGGGCACAAACAAATTTTTAGACCATCCAAGAGTTTCCTACATCGGAACTGGGTTTTTGGCAGGGTTTGGAAGTGCACCTTGATTTGATTAAGGTAACCACTTTTAAAAGACCATGTTTGTGGTATTTCTGTCATCCTGAATTTTGTACTGATGCTCTCTTCATCCCAACAATTAATACCAAAAGGAAAAAAATTGAACTTACACCCTAGAAAAGGTCAAAATAATTCACTCTCCTATAATGAATCCAAACTGTCCATTTGGTGGAATATATACTATCTATAAGAATTGGGATGAAAAACATCCTCTAAGGTCTAGATCTAATTATCCCATCAAATGGACAGCTTATGTTAATTGAGTTAAAAAAAGATATTTCTATGGTGTATTTTCAAATTTTGTTTTTTTGAGATTGTTTATCATAATGAATTGGTATATATTCAAAAATTACGGTTAAATAAGTGCGCTCTTAACATGGTTTTTGAAGATATTTTTAATTACATTGCTATAAAACAGTTGCATGGCTATGTTCTATATTGGATCACAATTTTGTAAAACATCTCCCTGCTTGATTTCAGATGGCGCAGGTAAACGCAAGGAATTTGTTCTATTTTCTACTATTTATCTTAAGGATTTCAAAAACAACAATGTTGCTCCTGAAGATGTAGTGAACTAGACTTCAAACATGAAATCCTGCTGATCAGCGAATGTAGTAAGTTGGATCGTTTAGATATGTTCTATCTTCCTATTTTTGAGTGTTACTACTGTACCTTTGTGTGTGTGTGTGTGAGAGTGAGAGAGAGAGAGAGAGAGAGAGAGAGAGATTGGCTAACCCTTTCATACTTGTGATATCTAGTGTTTCTAGAAATTGTATTCAGCCCTGAATCACTAGGGCAATCGCTTTCCAATTTACCCAATTTGAATCAGTGATTCTTGATTGAGGCTGCTTTAGGGCCTCATTAGGAAAGATATTGAGAATTGGGAACCCCCTTGTTGCCCCCTTGGTTTCGGGTCGATTTTTTGTCTTGACCCAGCAATTTTTAGAGGGATTGTATACTATAAAACTTTTTTTTTTAGTACAACGAAGTCGCAATTACCCGTACCTATTGGATGTGAAATCAAATAGTTAGGGGGTGACACAGATCAAGAAATTTATTTTGATTTTTGTGTCTAATCAATCACACCTCCATTCACTTGATTTCACATCTAATGGTCAATAGTGATTATAGCCTTCTTGTGTTAAAAGTAAATGGTCTTATTGTATACTTTTCCATTTTCAAAATGCTGATTACATCTATAAAGAAATTGAATTAGAAAAAAGAAGAGAACCGAGATACATTGGACCCGGTACTTTAAAGAACATTGCCCTGTTTAGAAACTGTAGATGGTTATGAGAAAACTGCTGCAGTTAACCATTTCAAAGAAACGAAAAAACTGTTCATTAACTTGGAAGTTTTCTATCTTCTCTTGTTTCTTCTTCAATTTGTGAAAAAAAATAGTGTTGGCTTATGGTACCTTTTGATTAGACAGTCGGAATGGCTGTTTTAAATGTCTGACCAGATCCAACTTGCATTAGCATGTTGCTAGACGATCCGTTGATTCTGCTCCCTATGTGGATGTTCCTGTCTATATCTAAGGGCTGTTTGAACCGAGTACTAAATGGGTTTAATACTTTCTCCTTTATCCTGTTGTGCAGGTTTGGTACTATTGGTCATTTGGGTGGGTGGGTTTTGGTGTGTAGAAAATGCTGCTAGAGTGATTTTTTGGTGATAATGGCCAGACCAAATAAGTCTATTTTCTTCTTGTTAAAATAACAAGCTATTTCTCTATGAAGATAACATCCCAAAGTGGGCATTAAAGGCCACCCAAACATCACCATGATCATAATTAGAGCATTTTTCTAACCATTTGAGGTCGGTTATACGAATCTTGATTCACGATTTTGTTCTATCATCAGCCATATTCTCATATCTTTTCTTACTACTTCCAATCATGTGCTTTTGAGCTTACTCCTTATCCTTTTGGAGTTATCCACTTGAACTAATTTACACTTCCTAATCAGTGTTTTATTGGGTCTACAATGCATATGGCCAGTCCACTTAAGTTTACTTTCTCTCATCTTATTATCTATTGGAGCTACACCTAAATTCGCCCTAATGATTCATTTAAAATTCTGCCCTTTATTGTCTTGCACACTTAAGTCTATTTTTTCTCATTTTGTCTACACATGGCCAGCCCACGTAAGACCAGCCAAACATTGGCTTCAAAAATGTGTTACAAACCAACAAGTCAGGAATACTTCGAGAATGCTCGGAAATTACTTTCATATCTTCTCACAACATTATTTAGTTCCTAAAATCTGGTAATTGGGGCCTTCTTTCTTCTTCTTTTGCCATTTACAGCTATTT